CCGGTAGTATTGTCACATATAACTAATTCTAAAATATGAATTTTGATTTCCAAACACGTTAAATATATAGCCATGCATGATTGCTAGATTTCGTATATATAATCTCTTTCTATTAGCATATTAATTTGATAGATGAAATAATCATGAGACATTTTTTATACATTTACTTTGATTGATTAAAAGTGGTAGAGATAACTGTTTAGAAATGTGTAGAAAAACTTGTTGAAATTGGGTCCCAAATAGAATACGTTTGGAATACGTTTTGAGAGAAAAGTAAATTTGCTAGTTGATAATTGTAGTTGCTATATGGGTTATATAAATCAGTAAGATGTCCAAAATTTATTGCGGATATGAATATAAGCAGCCAAATAAATAGTCTATACTACTAGTAATTTGAATACTGTTTAGCAATAAACGTATATATAATTACTCATTAAACGTTATAGAGATAAGATCGTTAGTGTAGACTGTAGAGTAACTACACGTAAGTGTGATGAAGCTAACTTTGAGGAACGTTGCAGCCGACAAGCTGTTACTGCCTTACTGCCCTCATCAATGCTCACAGTCTCCCCCCCTTAATTAATTTCACTGACCTTATGTTTCTTCACATCCAATTTTATTTTATTTTATACTAATGTAATAACTCGATCGTCGTCTTTGTTTACGCACCTATCTATTTAAAACCTAAAGAATTTTCATATATATATAATCGAATAGCTTAAATGTAAAGAAACTATATAATCGTCGGTGTTTAATACAATAAGGTAAGCATGTGCTTGCACACCCAAGATTAGCCATAATGACTTTCACTCATGTTTTAATATATAGTTAAAATATATAAAAAGGAAAAAAACAAATAACCCGTTAAGGTCAAACCCATTATCACTTTCCCTTGTCATTTCCTAACTTCCAAAAACCCTCAAACACAAATTGTTTTTATTCTTTTCTACATTTAACCAAATAACTAATTAACTAATCAAACCTCTTCTACTACCTTCTTTATAAATATCTCAGAATCGTCCGACTTTTACACACACACACATAAAAAGAACAAAAATAAAAAAATGGAACAAGAAGATTTCTACTTCCCTGACACCGATCTTGATCTCAGCTTCACATCCACTGTCACAGACCGTACATTCGCCTCCTCAAGCGCTCGTTCCAGCTTAACCTTAAGCTTCAACGACAGACTCTCCACTTCCTCCGCCGTTACAACCTCCTCGGCCTCCTCCTCCACCGTCAACCACCGTCGTCATGATCCTCATTGGTCAGCAATCAAATCTGCCAAACTTCTCTCCTCCGACGGAAACATCCACCTACGTCACTTGAAACTCATACGCCACCTTGGAACCGGAAACCTAGGCCGAGTCTTCCTCTGTAACCTCCGTGACTCTTCCGCGAGATTCGCCTTAAAAGTCATCGATCGTAACTGTCTCACGACGGAGAAGAAGCTATCTCAGGTTGAAACGGAGGCAGAGATCCTCTCCTTGCTTGACCACCCTTTCCTCCCTACGCTCTACGCTCGTATCGACGAGTCTCACTACACGTGTCTCCTCATCGATTATGCACCAAACGGAGACTTACATTCCTTGTTACGCAAGCAACCTGGTAACTGTTTACCGAATCAGGCGGTTAGGTTCTTCGCCGCCGAAGTTCTCGTCGCCTTAGAATATCTCCACGCAATGGGGATCGTCTACCGTGATCTCAAACCTGAAAACGTTTTGCTCCGTGAAGACGGACACGTCATGTTGTCAGATTTTGATCTCTGTTTTAAATCCGACGTCGTTCCTACTTTTAAATCTCGCCGGTACAGGAGAACTTCTTCATCTCCGTCTCTTCGTCGGAGAAGGAGCGGCTGCTTCTCCGTAGCGACAGAAGAAAAGTACGAGAGGGAAGAGATGGTGGCTGAGTTCGCGGCGGAGCCAGTGACGGCGTTTTCAAGGTCCTGCGTTGGAACACATGAGTACCTTGCACCGGAGCTAGTCTCCGGCAACGGACACGGAAGCGGAGTAGACTGGTGGGCGTTTGGAATATTCCTTTACGAGTTGTTGTACGGAACGACGCCGTTTAAAGGAGAGAGCAAAGAGCAAACCCTGCGCAATATAGTATCGACCACCAAGACCGCGAGTTTCCACGTGGACGGTGACGATTCGGAGGAAGCGAAGGACTTGATTGAGAAGCTTTTGGTGAAAGACCCGAGGAAAAGGCTAGGATGCGCCAGGGGTGCGCAAGATATCAAACGTCATCCGTTTTTCGATGGGATCAAGTGGCCGTTGATTAGGCATTACAAGCCACCGGAGGAAGTTAGAGGTCTTGTGATTAAGAAGTCCACGACGAGAGCACATGCTGGTCACGTGACCGCCGTTTCACCACGACGGAGGAAGTCGTTTCTGTGGAGGGCCTTGTCTTATTTACTGCGCGGTAAAAGCTCTAGTGGTGGGAGTAAAAACCAGAGCAATAGTAATTACTATCATTATGTGGGCAAAAGCTACGTGAGTCGTAAACGCGTTTAAGGCTATCTCACGCTTACTTTTTGTTTCGTTTCTTCAAATTTTTCCCCATACGATCTTAGGGTTAAAAATATATTAGAAGGCGTGTATATGAAGATATGTATTAGTGTATGTATACAATAGGGATAATTCAACGATTTTTGTATATGAAAGTTAAATTATACGAGAAGAAACAGTGTTTTGCCTTACATTGATTTATTTTGTTTATCTTCGTCATTATTAGCAAAGGAATATATACAAACTCAGTGAATGCATGCACTTGTTACTTGTATAGCTTCATCAACTACGTGTTCGGATCCGGCGTTGGTAGCTGGACCAATGTACCATACTACTTTTTTTTTGTCTTTTTTTTTTCAACATTACCATACTTCTATTTTGGCCTAGGTGTTTTTAAAATCGATTTTGAATTTTCAATGTTGTATTGAGTCTTAGCGGTAGCCAGTTCTCATTCCTTTTTTTTTTTTTTTTTGCATCAAACGAAAGAGAGACACTTTATCCTTTGATTTAGTTGGCAGAGTTTTGATGATGTTATGTAAGAAAACGAGTAATTAAGCAAAAATGGCCTAGTGATATATAGTTTATTTTGCTATTGTTGACCGATCGAATTTGACGATTATATAGTTTTCGGCTCAGATAGTCAGATGATTTTTTAATAAAGCGAGTTTCTATTTTGACGAACTTGCGCAACACTGATTCGGATTAACGAGTTTATACAAAGAATTAAGATGGAGCATATATATTTGCAAGTTTGCAACTCAATAAAAATTAAACGATAACTGTTCTTTATAGAGTACTCTTCTACACGATTCCTTTTAGATTTTAGGAATTTTCAAGTCTAGTTAATGGTTCACAGAACAAAAAAAAAACGTAGTGATCAATGGTTAACGTGTTCCATGAAAGACCCATCAATATTCAAAATTGGACTGGAATGATTATATATTGGGCCCTGACCATTAGGGCGATTCATTCTCAAATGCAATTGCAGGCGAAGATGAGGAGGATATCCTTCAATATAGTTTATTGCAACTTGGACGTAAAGAAACACAATAATCGAAAAAATTGATACTGGTTGGGCTTCGAAACCTTAGAGTAATCTTAGACCGACAATAGTATATATATAAAATACTATATCTTATGTACAAAACAATGTGACTGGTGAGGATATAAATGTGATCCGGGAATTGATACACGAAGTGACGCAGAGCTGATTAGAAAAACGAGGAAGAGATCAATGAAGGATGATTTTGTTCTACTAGCTGTAAAATCGCAACGAATGATAAGAGGAACGGGAACAGTCATAATCTCTCTTTCAGATTTTTGTGTTCGTAACTTAATTAACATGATGGGCAATGGCTAAAGATAATATTTTCAAACCCAATTTGATATGGTTTGTCCGACCATAATCTAGAAGATACCTTTAACAAAAAAAAAAATCAAAAAAAAAATCTAGAAGATATGATTGTTCATATTATAGTTTGTGCTACGGGTTTTACATGCATGCAGTTTTAAGTTAAAGACATCATATAATTCACAAAAATATTTACCAAGTTAACAAACAAAATAGAAGTTCAATTATATAGACGTTTAAGTTACACTTTTGATAGATTTTTTGGTATATATAAAAATGGTATATACATATAATTTGATTGGTTTGATGGAATGATTTTATGCTCTTATAAGATATTGTAAGGTTCTAATTATGAAAGTTGAGATTAAAATAAGAGAAGCGATCGCGAACCAAACAAACCTACTCAAGTGGAGAAACCGAAGATAAGATTGCCGGTTCCATGTCCCCTTAAACCCAATCTCAATGCTTTGTCTTCTTTCAACATCTCTCCTCTTTTTAAGCCCACCTTTCTCCCTTTTCTACTCTTTCTTCTTTTTTCCCTGCATTAAGAAATGTTTTGAAGCCTTATTAAACAATGATTGTTAGGTTAATCATTTACTTGTTTTTAAGGATTAAACAAGTAATGTAAATGAGTAAATCAACAGCTGTACATACCGCGTTTCTTAAATGTATATGAAGGTACATGGACAAGATAAGATAGTAAAGATCACAAGTTTATCGATCTATTTTATAAGATGAAGTTAGCTAATTTGAGCGAAATTTCAATATATCATCTCTTTCCATACACAAAACCATTCAAATTCGGATACGTATAAGCCTATAGAGTAAAAAAAAAAAATAGACTACAACAACAAATATATAGATATAATATTCTTGGCAGCCCATGATATAAGAGATGAGCCAAGAGATGTAATAAATTATTTTTTTGAAGAGTTATGCTGATTTCATGAAAGTATAGTTCCTTGGAGAACTAAAAGCGAGCCATGCAAATCTCAATGTCAATGAACCAAAAAAGTATAAGACCATGTTCATCTCCTCTTGTTTTACTTCCTTATTATTTACTACACTTCTTTCTTCTTTTTCTTAGCTATATATACTCCTCAAATCCTTCTCTCCTTCATCACAAACATTTTCATTTGCACTCTTCATTCTTCACCCATAAAAGGGTTTTTTTTGTTGGTGTCATCCAAAGTTTCAACCTTTGATCACTAAAACCATATACAAACCCTAATTTCCAACTACATATATATATGGCAGGACTAAAAAGAAAGTTCAACAAAGGTCACGCCTTTACAAGCAAATGTGTTTCTTTGGTGAAGGAGCAACGAGCTCGTCTCTACATTCTCCGCCGTTGCGCCACCATGCTTTGTTGCTGGTACATCCACGGCGATGAGTAAAGAGAAGCCTATGACTTCTCCTTCAAATTAACCTCTACATGTAACTATATATGTATATATATAAATCCCTCTCCTCTAGGACTTCTCTCCATGTCCCTTCTTCTTGAAGCTCCATTGATGTTGAACCTCTCCGTTGGTATTGGTGGCTGCTTGGTTGCATGGCTTTGAACCCTCCCCAAGAACTATTGATTCTCCCTCTTCAACTGGTGCAATAACTCCTGCAAAATTTTGTTACTTTTTTTGACCCAAGGATCCAATCTTATGGGTTTTGTTTGTTTTCATGGGTTATTTTGCATCAAGCGAAAAGAGAGATTTTATCCGCCGATTGAGCTGGCGGAGTTTGGATGAAGTTATGTCAGAAAACATGTTTCATACTTTTGAATCTTTTTGGGAAGTTTTGGATTTAGTTTCCTTTTGACCAAAGAAGTTTCTTTTGGTTATGTAAGATCTCGTTTGATTGTTGCCTCTGATTGTAATCAATGCCACGACAAACTAATAAAGAATAAAACTTCAGTTTTGGCAAACAGTCAAACTCAAACTAAACTTCAGTTTTACGAACCAACATCTTAACCGGGTTCAGGTTCAGTTAAAATGTATTCCAAGAACTAGTTCCGGATCAAAAAAACAGAACACTCCTCAAAGAGGTGACATCTGAAGGTCATTATCTGATCCAAGTCTAACCGAGTTCACGTAATCAGTCGGGCAATGATCCGAGAGACCAGGAAGCAACAGCCCCATGAGCCTAAACAATATCCTAAACCATCCTTCTTTGTAATCTGGACCATGAGTATACCCCATCGTCAAGCCTCGAATCAATTCCCAAACCGCGATTACATGACCAAGAACCTCGTAACGGAAACCGTAAGGGTTTGGATCCGGTTCATCCTCTACTTTCTGTCAAAAATACAAGAAAACCATCATCAGCCAAAAGTCAAAGTCAGTTGAACATGTTCCAAATTTGAAAACCTTAAGTTTGTTAAGTGATGATAACATTACCGTCTCGTTGTAGAAGCTGTCGTAGTAAATACAGAGTCCAAAATGCTTATAGAGGAAAGTTTTGTCATCATAAGGCAATCTCGGGACAAGATCGTTGCAGTAAACAACTCGAAAGTATCGGTCAACAGGTTGGTTCAGTTTAGCTTTCATGAATAAGCCAACCTCTCTGTTCCCTATTCTTGGTTGTCCAAAGGTGTAAACTCCAAGCAGCCTCTTCATCATCTCTGTTTCCTCTTTCAACACTAGCAATGTGGGAAACAATATTGCTAAAGCACCTCCTAAGCTGTGACCCGTGACTACAAATTGGGCATTTTCGTGTTCCAAAAGCAAACGTTGCAGAACGATTCGGACTGCGTAATAGGCGCTTCTCTCTACCATATCTAGGAGATTCTTTTTACTGTTATCTTCCTCAGAGGAGGTATGTTCGAAGAGATGGTAATGGAAAGTGGGAGTGTCGTCTCTGTTGCCTAAACCCATTGCTTCGAGGAAACCCATGTGAAGCTTTCCCACATTGGGGATTTCATACCAAGAATAGTCGAAATCGGTTCCCCAATCATCTGCATCAAATGGCTCAGTGCCTCTGAAGCTGATTAATATCAAGTTTGCATCTTTCTGCTTATCCGTAAGTATAAAAACTTGTGTAGACATCTGCTTCTGATAATCTGCAGATATAGACAAAAACATACATGCATGTATAAACTAAAACTCTTTAATTAAGCAATGCTAAAACGCTAAAAGCTCATATTTCATTCTCACCATTCCAACAATCCAAGAACTCCACCAGATTCATCTGCAGACATTAAAAGGTGAAAACTTTATAAATCCGGAAACTTTTTTCTCTCATGAAATGTGTTAAAACTTAAAAGTAAAACTTGCCTTCCAATGAAGATCAACGACGTTTTCAACAACCTTGGCGTTCTCATACGCAAGCTTCGACGCCATCACACACAAATCCATAAGCCCACGACTTCCCAATTCGATTTTAGCCCTTCCAGAAGAATCTGGATTGACCGAGTCAATGCCCTCCAAGTGTTCGACGAAATTCCATTCCTTATACAGACCAATTCTCCCATCAAGTTGCCCAATCGTACTAACAAATGTCACAGAGCCTCTCTTTGGTATCACAACTTTTGCTACAACACAATTAAATTAACATTTAACAAAACCATCCAAACTCATAAAAAACGCATTCTTTTCAATTCAAAGTTTCTAACTTTTTTTTTATAACTTACCTTGAATCAACCCGAGAAGCAAACCGAAGAATCCACCATTGGCAGAGAAGAGATTGAGGAAGAAGTCAATGACGAAACCTGTGTATTCCATCGGCGTCCGGAGAAGTCTGATGATCTTACGAACCAGGATCGAAACAACGATTACCCAACGGTGATCCTCTGCTTCCTCATCGATCGTCATCGTGCTCCATCCTCTGTTTGCAGGCCGCTCCAAGAACTTTTCCTTGCTCGTTTCGTCGTCCCTCACACCGTACCGGAACAAGTCTCTGTAGCCACCTCGGTGCGGTCGAACAATCAAGTAGTTCGACCCGTGAACCGGATTCGAACCGGATTCGTTGTCTTGGTGCATGTCCCTCTGTTTTTTGTATTCAATGGAGGCTAGCTTAACTTATAGACTTATACTATATATAATGTATATGCATGCATCTTTGATCTCTATATCTCTCTCTCTCTCTCTCTCTCTTTCTCTCTAGAGGGGAGGGAGGGAACTTGCTTATCTTAGGTTTAATCAGATGATATAAAACTTTCGTCATTTTCTTATTTTGGGCTACAGATTCTGATTTTATTTATTTCTAGCTTGCTTTACTTATTTTTATAAATTATTTTTGATTTTGAGTTTCAGAGTGGGCAGAAAGAAAAAGAACTACTTATACAAAGTTGGCACATAAGTCAATAAAAATTCGGAAACTTACTTACACACCATTCATTTATAATTGAGTGTATATTAAGGAACATTGTCTTTGATATACGTATTTATGCGTAATAAATCTCACATGTTACTACTGTATTCCGCGTTTATTTATATATACTTTCTATTAGAAAACTTGATCAAACAAAAAACCATTTGTCGTACGTAATTAGTCTCTCTCGGAGTTCGATTACTCTAGTCTCTATGAACCATCAACGTGACAGAGACTGACAAGGTTTACAGGTTAATCTGGGTTAAAAGGTAAATTTATCATTCCATAATGTTTGTTTTGAACTTATTTATCATTTCATAAAGTTCAAGCCAAATATTTTTTGGATTCTTTCTACCTAGTTCCAACTTCCAACAAACTATAGAAAGTCCCGTCATATATTAAAATTTTACAATTTACTTTCTTCACGTTTAGTATAAAAAAATATCACTTATTAGATAAACAATTATTGGTTTTTTGGAAATAAGAATCTGAAAATATATAACCTGATAATATTTTTGGTTTTTTTTTTTTGGTCTATTCCAATTTTGTTTTGTCAGTTTTTAACTGATATAAAAGTTTAAAAAGTATAAACTGGGTTCTGTAAAGTAATAATGCAAAGAATAAAGGAAGACAAAATGAAAAAGAAAAAAAAACAAGATAAAAAAACGTTGGCACGTGTGTGTAGGTGTTCAGAATGTGGGCCTTCGTAACAGGGCCCAACAAGTCCGCGTGCCTACGTGTTTAGCGTGTAGGTAGGTGTTCTGAAAGCGAGCCGTTGTCTCGTCTCGAACCAACGGCCCAATAAGAAACCATCATCACATGTGACGGGAAGTTCACGTGTCATTTCTTTCGCCTTCCGTCTTGCTTATTTTGACAATTGTCAAATGTGCTCGTTGCTTTCTCACGCCGCATCTTAACTCTTTCTAAAGCTAAGCTAATAAGATTGATTACATACATTTCATCGTATCGTATTCAATGTGTAAGGGACTATGACCGGTCGGGTTAAACGACCTTTTCGTTGTTTGTAGTCGCAGATATATAGATCAATGTTATGTAAAGACCTTGTAACTTTATTGGAACAAATGTGTAAACTTGTTATCTTGATACCCACGTAGCAACGTCAGTTCTGTCTCCTCTCAGTTCCCTTCTCACTCGTCACTCCTAAGCCTTCCCGAAAGAAAGTAATCACTCTCCAACAAGCAAAGCATTTTTGTTTTCCTTATGTTTTTCTCTTTTCACGAGTATAACTAAATAAATTAAACAATATCCACCATTTAAGTTACCTTTTCATTTTTAGTACATGTATTTTTTTGACATATACATTTTTGAAGTACTTAAAAGAACTAGTTTTGACCCAAAAAAAATAAAAATACCTTATATCAGTTTATAAGGTTACCAAAACCAATACAAAACGAAATAATAAAAAGCAAATGCTGCATTTTAAAAGTAAAACATGTATGTACTAATTTCTTCTGTTTGTGTTTCTACGCGAATTTGAGGTGGACTACTTGTTAAACAAGTGGCTTATTTGATATTCCTAGAAACTAGTGTTGGAATAAACTTTGAGTACTTTATTTATTTTATAACTATTAAGATAGGAAAAAAATATGTGATTCGGTCCGTATATATATAGCATGAAAACCATATAGAATACAGAGTCCTAGACTCCGAAGGAATAAAACGATAAAGGAGCATAAGAATACGTATGAATAGTACTACTAACTTACACATTATTGATAGGATCCATATACTAGTCTTATTATATAAAGGGTTTGTACGTAGTGGGCTGATCGATATATATTAATCGACATGTTACTTTACATTTTTGTGGGTAGACAATTGATACATGCACCATTGGTTATAAACAAATATTGGAAGATAACAATAATATAAAAAAAAGCAAACACAAAACACACACCGACCATTGTATTATGCGAGCAAATAGTTCATCAGCTCTTTGGACCTACCAAAAAAATAACGTAATTAGGTCGCCTTTAGCTTCTTTTTTAGGCAATTGAAATCAAATCAAACTACGCGTAGTTTGTCGGCAACACGTTAGGTCTAGTGTATTCTGGTATCCAACGACGACGTCTTCTACTGCTTACTGCTTACTTAGCTTTGTTTTTTTTTCAGGAAGTTTTTTTCTTTGTTTTTATTGATTTTGTTTGTGTTGATCTTTCTTGTTTGTTTGAATTTGTGTGTTGACTCGAACTCTTTTGTTTTATTTTTCTTTAGAGAATTCTTCATTTTAAGAACTCCGGATTCTTTTTGTCTAGTGTCATCAGAATGCACCTAATACACCTACTCCATGAATCACACAGCCAAGTGTCCAAAAATAACCAAACAAAATTAGAGCTTATTAATGACCTCAATATCACTAACAGTGAGACAAAACAAAATAAACCGAGAAAGATATAATAAAGATTAGGCTAATGAGATTATTTTCGTTTTTTTCTTCTTCTTAAAACGTATTTTTTTCGAATATATTGTAGTTGTTAATTGTGCTGGAGAGATACATCATATCTTTCCTTATATAATGTATATACTGTCCATGTCACCACCCCTTGCTTGTTGGCACACGCTTGGCTTGGATTGAAGCCTCGACTGATCTATTCATCAACCTAAATTCTAACACGATATTAAGTTGTTTTAACAATAATTTAAAGTCCTACGAGATTTGTAAGTAAATCGTGTACAACTTATGGACTCCTAACTAGAAACTATTGTCTAAATTTAATATACCATTTACTATGATAAATTAATTATATGAAAATATAGATAGAAGTCGGCAATAGATTTGTAGAATTGGTTATTGAACTAACTTGGTTTTATTGGTTCTCCAATTAGGGTATTTATACAGAGAACAAAAGATATATGTTAAACTTTATCTCCTAAGACAATGATTTCTAAACCTTATCACAATAGGAATATAAATCATAATAACGATATGTCCTTATCACAAATACTAGAATATTCTTCGCCTTGGGCTTCACGGATTCACTTGAATAATGGACTTTCACGGTCCATAGTAGTTGGTCCGCAAGATATACATCTTGCTTCTCAAGATATCTCCAATACTCACCCGCACGCCAAACGTGGTGTACAACGCAAACTTTGCAACCATAAAACGTAACACGTATGTCGTGGACAACTTATCAAGGGTAGAGAAATCATGTCAACAAGCTCTTTAGGGTAAAAACTTCAATCTTGAAAAGAAGAGTGGAACTTCAACTTGTCTTCGGTCTTGGTAAAAGAGAATAACAACATCCCATGGGTGCAAGCAGTGGCGGATGTAGAATTTACTCTTATAGGGGTCAACTTTTATCTAATTACCAAATGTTCTTAATTTTTTTTCTGGTTAGGGTCAGTAAACATATTTCTAACTATTTTATTGGGGTCAGTAGGCACATATTTATCTATTTTCTGAATTTTTTGAAAAAAAATACAAGTAAATAAATTTTTTTTTGTAAATTCATGGGTGTCAATTGACACCCTTACTAACCTTCTACCTCCGCCACTGGGTGGGAGTCCTGCAACTCCACAAATAATTGTCCTAATCTCGGACAGTCCATAAATTGGACTAATAATAATAACTGAAAACATAAGTGTTCCAATGATCCGAAGATAATCAAACTCCCCCGTAATGGTAAAACTATTACCATACTTTCTTTTCTTTTTCTTCACGTCATCTTCATCGTCTGGTTCGTCTTCATCCCCATCATCTTCTCTCATGAGAATCACCATGATCTCTTTTGAATTTAAGACCACAAAAGAAATTTCTAGTGTGGAAGCCTTTAGTTTTGATCCACTAGGATCGACTGCTCTGATACCATGTAGAATTGGTTATTGAACTAACTTGGTTTTATTGGTTCTCCAATTAGGGTATTTGTACAGAGAACAAAAGATATATGTTAAACTTTATCTCCTAAGACAATGATTTCTAAACCTTATCACAATAAGAATATAAATCATAATAACGATATGTCCTTATCACAAATACTAGAATATTCTTCGCCTTGTGCTTCACGGATTCACTTGAATAATGGACTTTCACGATTCATAGTAGTTGGTCCGCAAGATATACATCTTGCTTCTCAAGATATCTCCAATAAGATTCATATAAAAAACATAGCTTTACATTACTATACATACCAAAATGCTAACTAAATAAATTATTTTTTCTGTCTCGTCGGTGCGTTAAGAAACTAATATCCAAACACGTATATATATATTTCGCCGGTCAAATAAGGAGAGAACAAATTAAGTTAATAATTAAATTGATAAGAAAGCGAACGTATGGAAGAAATATTCAACGAAGACAGTAAGGGGGAGATTAGAGGCGAACCACGTACAGTGACCGATTAACACGTTTTAACCAAACTATTATAGTTCATTCGAGGTTGAGATAATCTAAACTAAATGATTGATTTATCAATGATGTAACCTTTTGTTTGATAGTTAACGAGATGATTGGCATATACAAAATAAATGTTGAATTGTACTAACGTTTTATGATGTATCTATCATCATCTATAACTTAATTAACGTTAATTATGTTTTTTTGGTCAAATTTTTTGCTAAGTTATCTTTTCTCATACGAATAAATCAAATTACTTGCATTTATACACGTCTCCCTTATAGAAAAGGTCATATTTGCTACAAGAATCTCGTGAGTTTCTTTACGATGGTTTTATTAATCACCTATTTAGATACCCTATAATTGCGACATTAGTGCGTGTTTAGTACTCATATTTTACCCACATGTTCTTATTAACAAACAAAACAAATTACCTTTTTCAATACAAACAAACTCACTTTCTATTCAGTAAAAAACAATTAACCTTTTTCACCTTTTTTTTTTTGTTGCATTCCACTTAGATGTGAAGGGAAAGTAATTAATCCTTCAAAGCATAAATTCTTCAAAGCAATGATGGAAATGACCCAATCATAACCAATCTTCAAAGTAATCTATCTATACTGTTTGAAAGCTTCGTTTTAAAATATTTTTTTTTCTTATTATATGATATTGTCATTCACAGAAAAATAAAAAATGTAAGTCATAAGCTTAAAAATAAAATTAAAAAATACCGAAAAAGAAAGAAGAAGAATATACAATACAATACAACCTTTAAAAGCGCGTAGGCCTTATGAAAACTACAGGTAGTTATTATTTAATTTGTATATTTTCTTTTTCTTTTTAATTTTGTGGGAATGAGAGAGATTTGCATAAAAACCAAAAAAAGACAATGTGTCAGACCATAACCATGCTACACCAACCAAGATTAATTGTTTATAAATTTCATGGACAAAATTAAAAGGAAAATTAGCATATTAAGTGTAACATTAATTAATATTAAATAGAGATTAGTGATAAAAATGTAAAAAAGTATATAGAAAAATAATAAATAAATAATTAGCAGAGCAAAGCGCCGAAGGCTCACTAGTACTATATTATCAATGGCTCTTGGATTCTTACTTAATAGCAAATCGTGCTTGCCAGCTTTACTCGATAAATTCGTCTTATGGCTGAAACAGTATAAAATCTAAGCTAACCAAATATTTATCCTGAAAATATACTTATTAAATAAATAATAATAAAAAATCTCTGAAGAAATTGTTTTACAAAACCAGATTTTGGGTTTTTGCCATTTGGGTTTTCTTCTGTCTCATCTGGTTTTAGAGAGAGAAGTGAAGAGAGAGAGAGGGAAGACGATGACTGAGAATCGGGTGGTTTTGGCTCTGGTTTTACTCTGCATTGTTGGGTTTGAGCCAAGTTTCATCCATGGAGATACAGATGCATCAGATAGTGAGTTTTTCACTTTTCTTTTTTCTTCTTCTTTTTCTAACAAAGTTTCGATCTTTTCAGGTTTTTAATCCATTAGTTTGCTCTGTATGTTGATGATTCTGGGTTTATGTTTCTTCCACAACTTTTGATTTCTTCATAATTATCCCAAAAACTCAAAAAACCTTTTGTGTCTTAAAATGTTCTTTTCTTCAAAACAGGTTTTGTTTCGACCAAATGTTTTTTTCTTGTTTTTTTTTTTTTTCTGTTTCCACCAAAATCTTTAACCTTTTTTCCTTTTTCCACTCACTTTATGATGTTTTATGTTCCTTCCCTTTTCTGGGTTTGTTTTTGTTTGGGTTCAGTCTCTTGCATTTCTTCAATTAGACAGGGAAAGTTAAGTTCTTTCAATATTAGTTAGTTCATTAAACTCCAATGATCTCAAATCTTGGATCTGCTTTATTGAACCGACAAAAAAAAATCAAAAGATTATGATGATTATACTCCATGGTTTGGAATAGTTCCCCTCATGGTCTCTGCTTCTCAATATGTGCAGCTTCTGCGTTAAACTCCTTGTTCACCTCCATGAATTCTCCTGGACAGCTATCTCAATGGACAGCATCGGGAGGTGATCCTTGTGGTCAAAACTGGAGAGGCGTTACTTGCTCTGGTTCACGAGTTACTCAAATGTAAATCCAAATCCTCATTTCAAATGTCACTTATGTTTGTTGTATCCATGGTTAACACATTATCTACTTGCAGAAAGTTACCAAGTCTTGGACTGTCTGGATCACTTGGTTTTATGCTTGATAAATTGACTTCTGTTACTGAGTTGTAAGTTTCATCTTCCATGATACCACCAAAGTTTCTACTTTTATGTGTAATTGACTTCATGGATTGTTTTTGCTGAAACCTCTAGGGATCTAAGCAACAATAACCTCGGAGGCGATTTGTCGTATCAGCTTCCTCCAAACTTGGAGCGATTGTATGTTTGATGATTCTTTCTCTGTTACATGTTTTACAAGTTTCTATGTGTTTTGCAAGTAGATAAATTTCTGAATTTTGTCTAGGAATCTTGCTAATAACCAGTTCACTGGATCTGCTCAGTATTCCATTTCTCTTATGGCACCTCTCAAGTACCTGTAAGTTCTTCAATTATTTATCTTCAAACATCTATTGGACAAAGATTTGTTTTGTTATGTAATGCTCCATTGGTTTTGTCCAGCAATCTTGCTCACAACCAGTTAAAGCAACTAGCTATTGACTTCACGAAACTTACCTCTCTCTCTATCTTGTAAGATCCTTTCTTCCGTGAGTTGAATTAGTTAAGAAACTTGATTAGTTTATAAAAAGATGTCTTGACAATTCCATTTCCATGTGTGTTTTTAGGGACCTCTCTTCCAATGCTATCACAGGGTCTCTCCCAAACTCCTGTAGCTCTCTTACGAGTGCTAAATCAATGTAAGATTTTTTAAGTAGGTCCAAATGTATAGAAAAATCTCACTGTAAGTAAGTGGAACCATTTAGCACTGACATTGTGTTTATTGAACTTCACAGTTATCTTCAGAACAATCAGTTCTCAGGCACCATCGATATCCTAGCCACCCTTCCTCTTGAAAATCTGTGCGTAACTTAAGCTTATCTATTTTTAGGAATTTATCAACTGTAAACACCTCTTGAATGTTGTTCTTGCTGAATGCTTCCTCCTCAGGAATATTGCAAACAATCGATTTACAGGATGGGTCCCCGATTCTTTGAAAGGCATTAACTTGCAGTAAGTGTTTCGTTGCTTTCTTCTGTTCTTGGTTCTTTTTTTCTAATCTCACTAATTTTTCTCCTGAATGATCTTGGAAACAGAAAAGATGGTAATTTATTCAATTCCGGGCCTGCACCTCCACCACCTCCTGGTACACCTCCGATCCATAAATCACCTACTCCGAAATCTGGTAATCGTGACACCCGGTCCAATGGTGATTCTTCTAGTAGTAGCAAAGACTCCAACAAATCAGGGATTGGAGCTGGTGGAATAGCGGGAATAGTCATTTCATTGATAATTGTAGCAGCCGTCATAGCTTTCTTCTTGATCAAGAGAAAAAGATCAAAGAGATCATCATCCACGGACATTGAAAAGACTGATAATAACATTAACCAACCCATTATACTAGCTTCAAACGAATTCCATCAAGGTAATAACACATTTCTTTTGTGGCAAAAAGTATATACATTAAATGACCTTGAGGTTTATTAACTTTGTAATCATTTTGGCTGTAGAGAATAAGTCTGTACAGAATCCACCATTAGTTGAGACAAAGAAACTCGATACATCATTGTCAATGAATCTACGTCCTCCACCAGCTGAGCGACATAAGTCGTTTGATGATGATGATTCAACAATGAGAAAACCCATTGTTGCAAAGAAAGCTGCTGTTATTGTTCCTTCAAATGTGCACACATATACGGTTGCAGATCTCCAAATAGCTACCAACAGTTTCAGTGTAGATAATCTTCTCGGTGAAGGGACATTTGGAAGAGTATACAGAGCTCAATTTGATGATGGGAAGGTATTTAACTTTACATAATCCTTTACTTGTAACAGCACAATGTCATAGTATTCTGCTGCTGAGATATTGCTTTGATTTAATAGGTACTTGCTGTGAAGAAAATAGACTCTTCTGCGCTTCCCACTGACACGGCTGATGATTTTACCGAAATAGTGTCGAAAATTGCGCATTTGGATCACGAAAATGTCACAAAGCTTGATGGTTACTGTTCTGAACACGGGCAACACTTGGTGGTCTATGAGTTCCATAAAAACGGCTCATTGCATGACTTTTTACATCTTGCGGAAGAGGAAAGTAAACCGTTGATATGGAATCCCCGTGTCAAGATCGCTCTTGGCACTGCACGCGCATTGGAGTAAGTCTTTAGACATCTCAATCACATTATTTCTCGCTATGCAGCAGTGTCTGATGGAAAGTATCGATGTTGTTGTTGCAGGTACTTGCATGAAGTTTGCTCACCATCTATAGTCCACAAGAACATCAAATCAGCAAATATTTTACTTGACTCAGAGCTGAATCCGCACCTATCAGACTCAGGTCTTGCTAGCTTCCTCCCCACTGCAAATGAGGTATGTAGAGTATAGACTATAGTTCTCGGAACTCTTGTATATTTCTCTTTTGTTCCTTTATGGAGCTTGTTCCTTAGCATTCGAAATGTTTTGCAGCTCCTGAACCAAAATGATGAAGGATACAGCGCACCAGAAACTTCAATGTCAGGCCAATACTCTTTGAAAAGTGACGTTTACAGTTTTGGAGTAGTGATGCTTGAGCTCTTAACTGGAAGAAAACCATTCGACAGGTACCACTACATCCATATCTCTTGGCTTCCTGATAAAACTGATTACTTTCTTAAGAGTGTCTGAATTGAAGCAAGTCTTGGTGATTGTTGTGTGTTACAGCACAAGGTCAAGATCTGAGCAGTCATTGGTGAGATGGGCAACACCTCAGCTTCACGACATTGATGCATTGGGCAAAATGGTTGATCCAGCACTCAAAGGGCTTTATCCGGTTAAATCCCTCTCCCGATTTGCAGATGTTATCGCCCTATGCGTCCAGGTAATCCATTTATATAATAAAACGAATGAAATGTGATGATGATCTGAAATGACATATGAGTGTAAATGGTGTTTCCTTGTTTCTAATCTTGTGACAGCCGGAGCCAGAGTTTAGACCACCAATGTCTGAAGTGGTGCAAGCGTTGGTTGTGCTGGTGCAGAGAGCTAACATGAGCAAAAGAACTGTCGGAGTCGGCTCCGGTAGCTCCGGCGCCAATGATTACATGTAAATTCTTTACCTGAGAGAACCAAACAAAACAAAACATAAAAATTTGCCCTTTTTTCTTGTCTGTTCGGATTCTGGGTCGGACGGCGACAGCAAGTGACAACAGAGACAGACAAACAAAAACAAAATCCTTTCTTTTTTTTGGTTTCATAAAACTGATGAGAGAATAACAACAACAACAACCCCTTCACGCATTGTACACTCCCCCATGTATCTTTGTAATTTGTTCCCAATTTGTAGCGTCTTTTTTTAGATTCCGACAACATGGACAAAACCATTCCCTTTTGTGAATCCCCTTCGGCTACGGTATTTTTCCATTGTAATTTTTATTGTTGTTTGAATAAATTTCCTGCGAAGAAATTTTTATATACAGTATGTGCTGCTGCTGAATTGAATGTAGAAGCTTAAAACCCATACCGGAGCAAAATTTAGCAATCTCGGTCTGTAAAACCCACAAAAAAGTGTAAGTAGTAAAAAAAAAAAACCAAAACACATAAAAAATTAGAAAGCCGACCCGGACACATTAGTGACACGTGGTTATATTAATAACACGCGGCTGGCAGTCCACACAATAGTTAATTAGTTACGCACACATCACTTGTGAATAAAAACCATATAATATATACACAATCCCTTGAAAAATCAAGTGAAAGTAAAAGAAACCAGAAGAATGATGATAGGAAAGTGGTGGAGATCTGTGGGAAGAAGCGTCGGAAAGTGTGATGGTCGGTACGATGGCGTGAGGACGATGGTTGGAAAAGCCTCGAACCGAGCTGGTGTTCATGGTTCAAAACTTCCCAACGCTAAAGCACTTGACAATGTAACTCAAAACCTTCCTAAATTAGTTGATATTTCAAGATTCTCGTTGTTTTTGTTCCCTAACGAAAGCTATTTTTCATAGTAACTATGAAATTCTTCTAATGCATACTGTATATAGGAGGAAGAGATTAGGGAGAGGATTAATAAAGGGAAAGAAGAGAAAGAACACAAAAGAAGAGAGGTTGAGAAAAAAGTCGAAGGCTCTCATCAAAGACGATCTAACGGCGACGATACGTCATCTTCCGACCGGTGATGATCATGATTCATGATTGATGATGGTTTTTGTTTCCTGCTTAATCACTTTAGAATATACATACAATATGCATTGTAATCTTTTTTGTTTCTTCGAATCTTATTTGTGTTGTGGCCTGCCTCGAATAAATATAATGCAATTATCATTATATGAACTGAAAAGCCCAAATATTAGAGGCCCATTAAGTGTGGCTTATCCATCTCCAACTCCCTCCTCTCTGTCTCGTCTCCCTACAATCACACAGAGAAGAGAGTTCGAATTTTCGCCTTCTCTTACTCCTGCGCTGAATGAATTTTCAATGGCTTCTTTAGGTACGTTTACATATTTGATAAGTGGTTCAATATTCTAGTTTCGATGATGTTGTTACAGAGATTTATAATCCCTCAAAGCTTTGTGCATTGCAATAATTTAAAGTGTTTCCACTGAAATTTTTTTAAAAAAAAAAACTTGCAGATGTTATTACAACTTCACAAGTTTATCTTACTCCATTGGTGGCTCAACGTATCAGCCATGCTAAATTCTTACAAATCCCATTGAGACAATTCACCTTCTCAAAGCATTTAGAACTCAATACGGGTCTCCCTAAATCGACCAAACTCGACGAAGCTGTAACCTTGATAGAGAACTCATCATGGTCACCCTCGAATCTCTCCTCCACTCCAGAGGCCTACACAGACCTTCTTCATGCTTGCATCTCCGCTAAATCGCTTCACCATGGCCTCAAAATCTGTTCTTTGGTTCTCAACGACCCTAGCCTTCGTCACAATCCCAAACTACTTGGGAAGCTCATCACACTATTCTCTGTTTGTCGTCGATTGGATCTAGCTCGGAAAATATTCGACGATGTAACTGATTCGTCACTACTAACTGAGAAAGTGTGGGCGGCTATGGCGATTGGGTATTCTAGAAACGGGTCACCACGAGATGCTTTGCTTGTGTATGTAGATATGTTGTCTAGTTTCATTGAACCTGGGAATTTTTCGATTTCCGTTGCGTTGAAAGCTTGCGTCGATTTAAAAGATCTTCGGGTTGGTAGAGGAATCCATGGCCAGATTGTGAAACGGAGGGAGAAGGTTGATCAGGTGGTGTATAATGTGCTCTTGAAGTTGTATATGGAACGTGGCTCATTCGATGATGCACGTAAGCTGTTCGATGGAATGTCTGACAGAAATATTGCTACTTGGAATTCTTTAATTTCGGTACTCAGCAAGAAAGCTCGGGTGCATGAGATGTTTCATCTCTTCAGAAAGATGCAGGAAGAGAAGATTGGGTTTAGTTGGGCGACTTTGACGACAATATTGCCCGCTTGTTCACGTGTCGCTGCTCTTCTCACGGGGAAAGAGATTCATGCACAGATTCTGAAATCCAAAGAGAAACCTGATGTTCCGTTGCTTAATTCATTGATGGATATGTATGGGAAGTGTGGCGAGGTTGAATATGCTCGGAGAGTCTTTGATGGTATGTTAACTAAGGATTTGACTACATGGAACACGATACTCAACTGTTACGCAATCAATGGATATATTGAAGAAGAGATGAATCTGTTTGATTGGATGATAGAGTCAGGCGTTGCACCTGATGGGGTTACTTTTGTTGCTTTGTTATCTGGATGTAGCGATACAGGGTTTACGGAACATGGTGTTAGTTTGTTTGAACGTATGAAAAACGAATTCAGAGTTTCACCGGCCTTGGAGCATTATGCTTGTTTGGTTGACATCTTGGGCCGAGCTGGTAATATCGAAGAAGCAGTCAAGGTAATAGAAACAATGCCATTTAAGCCAAGTGCATCCATTTGGGGATCACTGCTCAACTCTTGCAGGCTCCACGGGAATGTTTTAGTGGGAGAGGTTGCAGCAAAGGAGTTGTTTGTTCTTGAACCTCATAATCCAGGAAATTATGTTATGATTTCCAACATTTATGCTGATGCGAAGATGTGGGACAATGTGAATAAGATCCGGGAGATGATGAGACAAAGAGGGATCAAAAAGGAAGTTGGTTGCAGTTGGGTACAGGTTAAAGATAAGATTCAAATCTTTGTTGCCGGAGGTGGATACGAGTTTCGTAGTTCAGATGAGTATAAGAAAGTCTGGACAGAACTACAGGAAGCAATTGATAAATCCGGCTATTCTCCTGATACGAGCGTAGTGCTTCATGATGTTGATGAAGAAACTAAGGCAAATTGGGTTTGTGGACACAGCGAGAGACTTGCGACAACTTACTCCCTAATTCACACAGGTCAAGGGGTTCCGATAAGGGTTACCAAGAATCTCAGAGTATGTGCAGACTGCCATTCATGGATGAAGATTGTATCGGAAGTAACTGGGAGAGTCATAGTCCTCAGAGACACAAATCGGTTCCACCATTTCGCTGCTGGTATCTGCTCCTGTAAAGATTACTGGTGACTGGTGAGGTATTATTGTATTTTGCAACAAGTGAATAGTAGAGGAGTCTAAAAGACTGAAGTTGTCGAACGGACAAGGTTTACGACTGGTCATTTCATTCTTTTTGTAATGCTTTTGATAGCGGAAGCAGATAAGACCGCGACAGTGCTTGAATGTGCTGTTATGAGAAACCCACTTGCCAAGCATCATTGTTGGAGAGTAAGAATTTTGAAACCCAAAGCAATGCAGCTAATTGAAACAAGGACACATTAAACATTAACAACTTTTCTCCTTCGACATGATTAATGACCAGCGGTATGGGTGATAAGAGGATGTTTCTGGTAAGCAAACTAGACATGGAGGCAGACAGAGATGTCAAATAGAAACCTGGGATGATTCTTGTTTATGACAGTTGGAACCATCATCAGACTCGCGGAGGATTATGTTCGAAATGAAATAAAAGTAATGTATCTTTGGTACCTGAAACTCTAACTAAGAAGCGGGTTGGGGGAAACATGTTGAAACCACAGAAGCAGCTGAGCTTCTGGATACACAATGTGATGCCTTGGGTGCAGTTTCCAGCTTGTAGTTGTGCAGCTGTATGTCTATGCATAATACGAAGCACGGTTCATCTTTGTAATTATCACACTTTCACTGGTCATGTTCATAGTTCTCTAGTTATAGGAAGACATATCTATATCTATGGCATATCTGTTCTTACTTACAAAAACTCAATTACATGTCAAAGTGTTTTGTTATTGATATGTATAACTCAGTTATATGTCAAAGTGTATCGTTAAAAATCCTTATTCTAATTGGATTAGAATATAGCTTTGTGGCGTTCGGTTATTATATATATACCTAAACACTTGAAGATACATAAATGGCATAAGAGTTTTTTTCTAGGACACATCCATCTTCGTGTTGACTTGAAAGATAATGATGGAATCTATTTTCGACGATCTATTTAGTCTTGCACTAATTTACAGCTACCTCGTGCTTACCACTGGAATTTCCAACTCCGCCGTGTTTCTGGTTTGGATTTTGTATCTCATGCTGAGTTGCATTCTCTGTTATTATGGTTATGGTGATGGTGATAACGACGACTACGACGACGATAATGATGATGATGATGATGATGATGATGATGATTATGGCAACAGTGGTTATGTTACTGTGTCACCCATATATATCATTGAATTAGCCAGTATGATCAATTTTTACATTCTCCGAATCAAGTCTTCATCGTAGACTTCAGCTCTCAAGACTTAGAAGATGGTTATTTTCCTTAACTGTTTTCACTTAAGAAATAAAAAATTGCAACGTACGATTTGATAATTCTTATAATTACTAGTTTTATTATTTGCTTATTGGTTGATCCCAAAAAGGACTCAGCATATGTAACAGCTATATATATGTGCAAGAAAAAATATACATATATAAATTGGTTCTAATTGCATGAGAAAGCTAACTCTTTCGACTATATCTCCCAAAAATTTCTTTGGAAGAACAGACTATTCACACAAATTTGTTATCGAAATCAAGAATGAAAGTGATGTTTTTGCCAAAGAAAAATAATAATAATAATATTAATTATCAAGAAGATAATTAAAAACATGATGAAAAATATAATCAGAACTTGGAAGTATATAACAAGAGGGAAGCTGTGGATCGGACAAGTTTTGTCAGCTTTACAATATTTAAAAATAATAAGCCTTAATTGAGGATTTGAAGATCATACTTTTTCACATTTTAATTAGGCTTATCGCATGTCAAAGAGTATTTAACGAAAACAAGTAAAAAATTAGGAACCCACATAGTTAGAATGGAATTGTTTCTTTTTTTAATTATTTCTCTTGCTTTGGATTTTTGAAGATTATAATTTGCGTTACTGCCAACATTATCCATATAACTTCCTAGTCCAACTATATTATGTTCCTACTTAGAGGATAAATAATTTTGATTTCAAAATATGTCATTACAAGATGGGGACATATCAAATAATTTTGATAACAAATTAACAATATAACTGAAAGATTATATCAAATATTCTTGAAGATCTTTGTATTTATCTTTCTTTTTTATATATATCTTATTCTTTATCTTGTTATGATTCCTAATTACAGTAGTAATTACAATATGGACAGGGTTTAGACTTTTTGTTATGTTATTGATTAGTATATATATACATAATACCTGATCAAGCAAATTAATTAGGATTGGAAGCTAAGAGCTAATTTCTCTACGTACGATCACGAACTGTGTTTTTGTTCCTTGCGTTCTCTCGAGTACGATTTTGATCTTCTTCCAGAAAAAAAGGTTTAGAAGATGTCAGAACTACACAATCTAATACTTATCGTGATAATTTTTGGGTTTTTTTTTGTTTTCTTCGGGATTTTGTTCGGGTTTACATATTGCGTCGTTAAATGTTGTGATTGTCTTGATCATGAACATAACAACAACGATGATCAGGTCCAGCCTGATCATGTCTCTATAACCATCATCACGGGATGTGTTGGTCTCCACCCTTTCGTTCTGCGATCAATCCCCATAGTCGAGTTCAACTCCAAGGACTACAAAGACGTCGTTGAATGCGTCGTTTGTCTAGCGGAGCTCGCCAACGGAGACAAAGCTAGGGCTTTGCCTAGCTGCGATCATTTGTTTCACGTTGCATGCATCGACTCGTGGCTTTGATCACACTCCACATGCCCTATATGTAGAAAGATGGTTCGTTTGGAGCAACGAGTAACCAGACAGGAACTTGGCCGCGCCGCCCACGAGGGTTTGACCCAAGATCACGAGCCGACATCCGAACATCACGAGCTTCCCACAAATCCACCTCCTAGGAGCAGTGATACGACGATGACTGAAGACGATGATGGTTGCGGCAAAGCAAACGAAGATGATGGTTGCAGCGGAGCAGACGAATATGATGGTTGCGGCGGAGCAGACGAATATGATGGTTGCGGCGGAGCAGACGAAGATGATGGTTGCGGCGGAGCAGAGGAAGGTCCACCGGATCTAATGACGGTCGTGATAGACATTCCGGCGAAATAGATGAAATAAAGCCCATGTTAGTCATTATGGGCCAAGTACATGTGAAGATACGGTCCATATATACATGTATTAAACTACCGTCCATCTTTTTCTTTTGTAATTGTTTACAAATTTTGTGAATTTAGTCGTATATACAAAAAGAGTATATGCTATATTTTCATGTCATTAATTTTGTTTGACAGCGAATCTAGTAGTATAATTTTAAAGTCCATATATTTCAACTTGCAAGAAAGATACGAATTCGAATGATACTGTGAATGTTTTTTTTGTTTGCAAAGATAAATAATTGTAAATAATAAATAATTGGGAAACATTTACATATCTCAACGCTCTCTTCTGACAAACAATTTTAAAATAGATAAAACTGGTGTATGTGCAGCAGCACGTTCGAAGCGTGAGCGCAGACAAATCTATCTATCTAACCCAACCAACCAATGTGGACCTTTGTGAAGAATAATAGGCAGTCTCGTAATTGTCATAAGATACAAATACGAATGAGTTTTATAAAAGTACATAATTGTGGAGTTTTGGAGAATTAGTTTTTTTTTTTTTGTGTGTGTAAACCCTAATATAGAAATGTACATACGAATTATGATCTTTCTATTATTTATAAACATACTGTATATGGTATTTGATCGTGGTAAATTTTCTGGTGTTACTTGTTTTCAAAAATGAAAAATCAGTGGAAAATACTTTAGATAAGTCTCTCTCGAGTCTCGATTACTGCATCATATGCCCTGTATTTGCAACTTGTTGTAAAGGATTATGCAAATCGTAGCTGTCAACAAAAAAGAGAGTATGCAACTTGTTTATTAAAAAATTATTTCTTTTAGAAAAATATTAACGTTAAACGATTTTTTTCATTCTGCTTTCCTAGTTTTTTTCTAGTATAAAAAAAAAGTAAAGTTCCCCACCTTAATTAGCTACTTTAAATATACAGTATATATAATGAAAGATTAATGATAAAGAAGGAACCAAAATATTCACATGAAGATTATAACATCAAAGACACAGGAAAGATCGTCAAAAGCAAAGTAAGAAAATGAAAGGAAGCATGTGATCATTACGAGTAATACTGTATGCTTTTCCAAACAAGGGGAACCAACTTCATCTTTATATGGGATTTACTTTAATCGATATGGTTGGGGTTATTTTGTAATCCAATATTATTAGCATCTTTTATTTTTGTTTCAAAATATTAGATGTTTTCAAATTTTTATTTTAAAATAATACCAATTTATTTAAAATACTGAAAAAGAGATAAAATGATATGTTTAAAAAAATAATACCAATTCATTGGCTTGAATTGAGTTATTTTGTTGAAAATAATAAATTTTATATATATATAAAAGTATAACTTTTTATATAATTTAAAAGGGAGTATATGGTATTAAATGATATGGCTGGGATTAATTTTGTAAACCAATATTTTTATAGCTAAAAAAAGAATTCATATCTAAAGTTTCTACTTTCTTTGGTAAGACCCAACAAATAGTCAATTTCCTGTATCGGATGCTTGAATTTAGGGTACAATATTACAAATCTATTTATTTGAAAAGTGTTTCTTGATTTGGCCAATTAAACTACCGACACTGAAATAAACATTTCTTTATGTGGATGGCTTCTACTGAAACTATGTTGATTGTTGTAGATGACAACTACTGAAATGACGTTTACAATCTTACTAAACATATGACATATAGCTAAACTACGTGTTCAATGAAATCAGAGAAATGGTTGCTTATAGATGTTACATGTAATATTTGTTAGTTACTTAATTATCATTACACAAATTAAAGTTATTAAAAGAGAGCTAGAGGTTGAGTTATACCCAACAAAACTTGTATTCAATATTTACTGTCATCGTCTTTGGTGGAATAATCTTTTTTTCCAAAAAAAAAATCTGGTAGATGGACCCATGACAGGCTTGCAGCTAAAGGCCATAGCCATCGGCCTAAATACTTTACAGTTTATTTGTATTATTATTATTAGCTTCAACAATAATTTCGGTGATTAATCGCTATGTAACACTTTTGCTTTGCCTTAAATACATACGAAACATACTATAATGTTCTGACACATTATTTATAAGAAACATGAATTAATTCATTTTATTTCTGATTACACATTTACGATTTTGATAGGTAAACAAACAGTCCTTTACAACCAGGATTTAGCATAATGGCCTATTTTAAATAAATAAAAATTGTTGGTTACATACCTATCAGCATTCAAACGCAATTATTTTTATACGTAATGAATTTGTTTTTTTTTGATACACGTACTATAGTATTAAAAAAAGTTTGAATACTTTTTGAATAATATGTATATATGGTGATATTGTATACCTTAAAGAGACACAAACGTTAACAAATCAAATTGAAAATAACTATTGTATCTGAAAACGACGGTCCAGTTACACACCAATTGAATCCAAAATACATATAGTTTTTGTATCAACTCGAGATTTTCCATATACAAATTCAATGAAGAAACGAATATTAAAATCACAAAAAGAAGAATATGCTTTTAAGTAAAGGAAAAAATGTACATTTATTTGTCGGTTAATGATATTGTGTAATCCTAGATATAGTGTCCTAATATGTGTATGAGGATAAACGTGGACAAAGAAAAAGTCATGGACTCATTGGTGGTGAGTTGAGTTTCACTGGCCAAGCAAAGTAACGAATATATTGGTAACAAACTAATCGAATATATAACACTAGTCACTAAATTACAGATTTGGCAAAGCGACAATAGACTCTAGCCCCTGTCAATTGGCAAATAATATTATTTATATTCTAATTGAAAACATGACCAAAAATAAAAACCTTATCTTTATGAGCGTCTGAGCACCCAGTGGAATTTATTTATTTATTTTTTTTTCGGGAAAATTCCATTCGAATAATAATAGAGTGAAGAAAAGTAAGCAGAATTTTTTTTTTTTTTAAATAATATCTTTGTTTGAATTTTAAATTTAATCAAAATATAGTTTATATAAACACCAACTCTGACGAGTACATTCATCACTCACACCAGTGGCACAAAACAATGGCACCATCAATGAAAGAAATCTTCTCTAAAGATAATTTCAAGAAAAACAAGAAATTTGTTTTGCTATCCGCCGCCGTTGCCTTGCTCTTCGTAGCCGCCGTCGCCGGCATCTCCGCCGGAGCTTCAAAAGCCAACGAAAAACGACCTCTATCCCCTTCGTCTCACGCCGTGCTAAGATCCTCCTGCAGCTCCACGCTTTACCCTGAGCTATGTATCTCCGCCGTGGCAACTGCCGGCGGCGTCGAGCTAACGTCTCAAAAAGACGTCATCGAGGCATCGCTTAACCTAACAAAAACCGCCGTGGAGCACAATTACTTCACTGTGAGGAAGCTGATCAAGAAGAGGAAAGGGCTGACGCCGCGCGAGAAGACGGCGCTTCATGACTGTTTGGAGACTATCGATGAGACGCTCGATGAGCTCCATGATGCTGTGGAAGATCTCCATTTGTATCCAACCAAAAAAACTCTCCGGCAACACGCCGGAGATCTCAAAACCCTCATTAGCTCAGCCATTACCAACCAGGAGACCTGTCTCGACGGCTTCTCTCATGACGGCGCCGATAAGCAAGTTCGTAAAGCTTTGTTGAAGGGCCAGGTACGTAAAACATCATGAGTTCTTTATCCTTTGCAGTTCACATATAGAAATATGTGAACTTTAATCTAAATACCGCAAATGTAAGACAAATTCATTTGTTTTCGTTCATTAAACTTTTTTTATGGAATAGATAATGGCGAACATAAATCACTAGTTCTGAAAATGTATGTAGTGGCAAAAATTATATTGAGTTACTAGCATACTACAAAACTAGATATATCATACCTCACATCATAACTGTTAACTTCATACGTCACATCACGTAGACAACTTTTTAGAGCTTGTTCATTTTTTACATTGAGATATTGTTAGCTAGTGCTGGTCCATGTGCATGAATAGTAGCTATCTATCGTTCTTGTTAGCTAGAGTATATACCTTCAATTATTTGTTGGTAACACAATTTTTGGAAAATATAGCTTTATAACAAAACGATTAAATGTAGATTCACGTCGAGCACATGTGCAGCAACGCACTAGCAATGATCAAGAACATGACTGATACGGACATAGCCAACTTCGAGGCAAAAGCAAAAGTCACTTCAAACAACCGTAAGCTCAAGGAGGAGAATCAGGAAACCACGGTGGCTGTAGATATTGCCGGAGCCGGAGAACTAGACGCACAGGGATGGCCGACTTGGTTATCCGCTGGAGATAGGAGGCTTCTTCAGGGTACGGGTGTGAGAGCCGACGCCACCGTGGCAGCTGACGGTAGTGGTACATTTAAGACGGTGGCTGCTGCGGTTGCAGCGGCCCCGGAGAATAGTAACAAGAGGTATGTCATACATATAAAAGCCGGAGTTTATAGAGAGAATGTGGATGTTTCTAAGAAGAAAAAGAATATAATGTTTATGGGAGATGGTCGGACGAGAACTATCATCACCGGAAATAGAAACGTCGTCGACGGTAGCACCACTTTCCACTCCGCCACCGTTGGTAAGCAATTCGTTTAACTTTTTGAAAAATATAATTTTAAAAAAGAAGCAATTATGCACGATTGTGGTCCTTTATTTGGTGGAAAAATCTTTACTCTTTTCATGCACATTAAATATACACATGTAGATTCTTGTCTTAGTACCCCCACTATAACATATATTCGCACATGTAGCACCTACTAGTAACTAAAATGTGAATTTGAATTTGCCGAAATGAACAAAAAAACTTAGTTAGATATGAGTCAGGAGGGAGTCTTGATCCATTATGTTCTTGGCTTTATTCATATGCTTTTCCAAGTCAGTAGTCACGTTATGTTGGATTGGTTTTGATGGCTCATCCACTCGTGAAGAGAGCCGTTTGTGTTTATGGAGTTGCCACCTTTATTGACTTTTCTATCTTACTTTGGGCCCTTAATTAATCTGGTTTCATCATTTCAGTACAACTTTAGTATCATTGGCATGGTTTCTTTATTCCCTTTATAATTTATAAAATATTCGTTACACTTAAAAAGGTCATATTCTAGAAAATTAATTAAGTACTGTATGTCTTAATTAGTCTTTTAGCTAATGATATGTCGTTAAGTAACCGTTGTTTCTTTCGTTGTCCACAGCTGCTGTCGGTGAGAGATTCTTAGCTCGTGACATCACTTTCCAGAACACGGCGGGTCCGTCAAAGCACCAAGCTGTAGCTCTCCGTGTGGGTTCTGATTTCTCAGCTTTCTACAATTGTGACATGTTAGCTTACCAAGACACTCTCTACGTCCACTCTAACCGTCAGTTCTTCGTCAAGTGTCTCATCGCCGGAACCGTCGACTTCATCTTCGGGAACGCCGCCGTCGTGCTCCAAGACTGTGACATCCACGCCCGCCGCCCCAACTCCGGGCAGAAAAACATGGTCACGGCTCAGGGGCGTACGGATCCTAACCAGAACACAGGGATCGTTATCCAGAAATGTAGGATAGGTGCCACGTCGGATTTACAGGCGGTGAAAGGTAGTTTCCCGACGTATCTTGGCCGGCCGTGGAAGGAGTACTCACAAACGGTGATAATGCAGTCGGCTATCTCAGACGTGATCAGACCCGAAGGGTGGTCCGAGTGGACGGGGACGTTTGCGTTGAACACTCTGACTTATAGAGAGTATGCGAACACGGGAGCAGGGGCTGGAACTGCAAATAGAGTGAAGTGGAGGGGCTTTAAGGTAATTACGGCTGCTGCTGAGGCTCAGAAATACACGGCTAGTCAGTTTATTGGTGGTGGAGGTTGGTTATCCTCGACCGGTTTCCCCTTCACGCTCGGTCTTTAATTTGAGATATATATATTGTTGTGTACTTCCTAGCGTATTTATTGTTGTTGCTTAAATGTTATTATTGCAGTTCGTGTTTCATTTTTGTTTTGTGTTGTGTTGTGCATTTTTTTTTTATGTTTCTTTCTCTAGATCGTAGTGTATTAGCAACGAGATTAAATAATGCGGATTTTTTCGCCTTTAGAATATGGATTTGAGAGAGAAGCAATGTTGCCTATTTTGATGATGATTGATGTCACAATAAAAAAAAAATATGTCTTTTCTAACTTCTATCTCTTTTAATATGTCCATGTCCATATTAACCATTGAATTATATATCAAACAATAATTCCCTGGTTTGGGAATGCTTATGTTTACAATATTATTGATTAACCGACCGCTAAAGGGTTTTATGATTATTATTGATTTTTTTATTTAAATAACATGATTATTATTGTTATAAACTTACAGTTAAAGGGAACAAAGCAGAGCCATGATAATTGTGTTAGAGGATTATTCAGTAAATGGTGGAGTATAGAAAATTCATGAATGGTAACGATAATTGCGCAAGTTTCGGTTAATTTGTACGGTGAACCACGATTAAGAAGAAAGGTCTCATGGTTGACCTAAATTAGAATAAGCTGGCCAAAGTTGACTTCTCCTCCATGATAACATCATCATTACTCAATTTCGTATCTCGAAGACTCGAACTTTCCTTTCTACTTGTAACGTGTAACGTGTTTAACATCAAATTCAAAATGATGAGCATTGGCCTTTTGGCAATGGTAGCGCGCCTGGTTATATTGTCCGAACATGGTTCAATCTGAACGAATGTCATTGTAACAATGAGTACCACATCCTGAGCTTAAATCAGATTAGTTTAGCAATCCTCGATTAGTATTAACTACTAAGAAGTACTTACTAACTATACCAAATGTAAGTATGTAACCATATCAAGCAAAACCACAAGAGATGTAAATGATATGCCACATGACAAGAAAACACATGGCGGTATTCGAGTTCGTGGACTGTAGATGCCCGATGGCCTTTTTACACATGTAGGCTTATAGTCTTCTATATTTTCATCCCTTTATATATAGAGATGTATTCGTTTGGGTACGAATGGTAATAGTTAATATTATGCAAAAATTTGGCCGATTGATCTAAGTGTTCATTAATTTTAGATAAAAAAAATAATCTCCAAGTAGACTCCAACTCATACTAGTTTAAAATTTTCTGTTGCATCCTTGTTAACCCACTTTTTTGGTTCATCTTAAGGGGATTTTTTAGACCACAGAATCACTCGATGGCCAGAGATATAAAATACATCTTCCAATGAGAGAAATGAATGGATCAGTTAACAACCTCATTAAAACCAAATATTTTTTGAATATGATATTTTAATTCCATAAACGACATTTTCTAGAACTTAGACAACTGTCTTAGTATTTTGCAAGAAACCGATCTCCAAAAGGCCACAAGTAATTTGAAATCACTACAAATATCTAAGCAATCATATCATTAAACTCGTAATCCTAAACTTCCATAGTTTCCATAAGAAAAAACACGCTAAGCCAAAGCATTAGTATACCACGTATTAAAAAGATCTTCCAAGAAAATCATAATGCAAACATCAACCATGCGTCTAAAGTTGTCAATTAGATACAAATAAATAATCAAACATATTTTGAAGATAATTTCGTGCATTAAAAAAAAGACTATTCTAAATACTTTAAGCACACTATAAACAACCTACCAGTAATTATTTTAATCCAACACTTTAATATTTTAACCATGTAAATCTTTTGTATTTGACAATATACGTTGACAATTACGAAACAATGTGTTCTACATCGACTTTTCCTTATATGCTTGTTAGCTTCGTTGGAATGATTTGCATGTGGTTATCGAGCAAAGGACTTGAATTATTTATAGTAGTCTCTCTAAAATACATGTGCAGAGTGTGAGTTTCACTTTCTATGGGCCGACAAGTGAAAATGATATTTTAACTTGATGTGTACAAAAAAGACAAACATCTGGACTTTGACTTGCAACTAGTCTAGTCTTAACGGCTTAACGCTCATAACCAAACCCGTAGACCCAATTCGTGGTTTTCTTCTACTAAACCAGATCGAATATTTTGCAATAATCGTACAGAATATTCAATTACTATATGGTGAAAGACCGTGAGAGGAAACTACCTAATGAAGATTGATTTGATTTAAGAATTAATTAGTGACAGTAAACGACCTCATGGATAATCATGAAATGAATTAGTGACAGAAGATGATGAATCTTCCACATGCCTAATCCTAATGGACCATTTAACTCACACTTCCTTAAGAAGCATCACAAGAATAGACGCGTCACGTTAAAATAAATATTCACATTTCCCAATTCCACCACTTATATAAAGCCATCCATCAAAACACCAATTCTTATTCATCCCCGTTCAAAAGTAACTACAACAAAAAAAGGTATAAACCCTAAGAACTTAGTTTGAGTGTTTTTTTTATTTGTTATGGATACTGTGAAGTCAATCAACAAAGGCTATGGCAAAGTAGACGAAGCTCAAGATTTAGCGTTGAAGAGAAAGACAAGGAAGCGGTTGATTTACATAGGCGTTTCCGTCGCTGTTCTTGTGGCGATTATAATCAGCTCCGTCGTCGCCGTCGCTGTTCATAGCCGGAGAAACAATTCGCCTAAATCAACACCGAGTACAGTCCCTGAGTTGACTCCAGCCGCTTCACTCAGAACTGTGTGCAGTGTGACTCGTTTCCCCGCTTCTTGTATTTCAAGCATCTCCAAGCTTCCATCGTCCAACACGACGGATCCGGAGGTTTTATTCAAGCTCTCGTTGAAGGTGGTGGTCGACGAGCTCAATTCCATTTCCGATTTGCCGAGGAAGCTCGCGGAGGGGACTGATGATGAGAGAATCAAATCGGCGCTGGGTGTTTGCGGAGATCTGTTCGACGACGCGATTGATCGCGTTAACGAGACTGTTTCCGCCATGGATGTTGGAGACGGGAAGAATATTTTGAATTCGACTAAGATCGACGATCTCAAAACGTGGCTCAGCGCCGCCGTTACAGATCACGACACGTGTCTCGATGCGCTTGACGAACTCAGTCAAAACAAAACGGAGTACGCCAATTCAACAATCTCACTGAAACTCAAATCCGCCATGGTTAATTCAACCGAGTTCACCAGCAACAGCTTAGCGATCGTCGCCAAGATCCTCTCTACGCTAAGCGACTTCGGTATCCCGATTCACCGTAGACGGCTCCTCAATTCGAATTCGGCCGATTCGTTTCCGAATTGGGTTAGCCCAGGCGTGAGACGGTTACTCCAAGCGAAGAAATTAACGCCTAATGTCACGGTTGCGGCGGATGGCTCCGGGGATGTGAAGACGGTTAACGAAGCGGTGGCGAGAGTTCCGAAGAAGGGGAAAACGATGTTTGTGATATACGTGAAAGCAGGTACGTATGTAGAGAATGTGCTAATGGATAAGAGTAAGTGGAATGTTATCATCTACGGTGACGGCAAGGACAAGACCATTATCTCCGGTAGCAAAAACTTCGTCGACGGGACTCCCACTTTTCAAACGGCGACGTTTGGTAATCTCTCTCATCTTATTTATACCCTCTCCCCTTTACTTTCTTTATTTCCTGGTCTAGAATAAAAACTTCTTTTACTTTTTTACCCGATTGAGTAAGTGATACTGGGTAGGCTGGTACTGACAGTACTTACATGGATTTGGTAATTTATATTTACCTACCTTTAAGGACAAAACGCTGTCGTTTTTAACACTAACGAGTTTATTTACCATTCACGCAGCAATTCAAGGCAAAGGATTTATGATGAAGGACATCGGAATCATAAACACGGCCGGAGCAGCGAAGCACCAGGCCGTTGCATTCCGATCAGGATCCGATTTCTCAGTCTACTATCAATGCTCCTTCGACGGTTTCCAGGATACGCTCTATCCTCACTCCAATCGCCAATTCTACCGTAACTGTGATGTCACCGGAACAATCGATTTTATCTTCGGAGCCGCCACCGTCGTCTTCCAGGGATGCAATATCCGACCGCGTCAGCCGCTTCCGAATCAGTTCAATACAATCACCGCCGAAGGTAAAAAGGATCAGAATCAAAACTCTGGTTTGTCGATCCAACGATGTACAATCTCCGCCAACGGGAACGTAACTGCTCCGACATATCTCGGCCGTCCGTGGAAGGAGTTTTCGACGACGGTGATTATGCAATCGGTGATTGGTCCAATCGTGAAGCCGGCTGGGTGGATGTCGTGGGTTTCGGGTGTTGACCCACCTGCGAGTATACTGTATGGAGAATATAAGAATTCGGGTCCTGGGTCGGATGTGACCAATAGAGTTAAATGGGCCGGGTACAAGCCCGTTATGTCTGATGCTGAGGCAGCGAGGTTTACGGTTGCCAATTTTCTCCGAGGGGCTGATTGGTTACCGGTGACTGGAGTGCCGTATCAACAAACTTAATGGCTTAAACCATCTTCATTGCAAGGATCTTAGGGGGTAAGATCATTGCAATGAGGATGCCCTATAAAAAAATACCATTTCCTTCGTATTATTTAGATTATCTTAAAAAAAAAATTAAAGATGCTTTAGATAGATATTCTTATGTTTTAAAATGCAATATATTCTTTTGTTATTTCAAAAAAATATATTTTATTTTTAATGTTTCATGAAGAAGCTCATCTATTTTTTTGGTCGAGACGAAGAAGTATAGTTAGTATTTTAAAAAACGGTCTAGGCATTTAAAAAATATTATTATTGGTTTAAATTAAAGTACATTTAATTTAGAAAATTTGGATAAATAACACATGTACCTATACTTTTTAAAAGTACTGTATCACTAAAGGAGAAAATTGTTTTAAATGATAATCTGTATTTTTAAAACTTTTAAACATTTTATAACATATGTTAAGAACCTTGTAAAACTATATAGAAATATTTTATAACGTATATATATTATACAAATTTAAAATGCGTAGTTGTGATAGTTTTCAAACTTGACATATTCCTCAACTCAATGGATCCTCTTCTTCTTGCGATCGGGACCTTTGGAGACTACAAAAACCACGGACTGGTTTCCAGCGTTACTAACCAAGTCACGTGGCTTGGATAACATCAGTGATGACGGACGAGGAGGCCAAAAAATATAATAAGACAGCAGTTTTAGCAGTATAACTCGTTTAGTATAACTTAAACTATTTGTTTACGTTTTATCCAAACTTAGGGGGGTGTATTCAAAGTAGCATTTTAAGAGATTTGAGTTTTAATGAGATTTTGATGATTTTAGGGAACTTTATATGATTTATGTAAAATCCTTTCAAATCCCACATAAAACTATGAGATTTGGATTCTTATATTTTTAACTAAGGAAGTTCTCTAAAATCCACTAAAATCCTCTGAAATCATTTAAAATCAAATTCACAAACTGTTTTAAATAACAGTGGATTTTAAGGTGGATTTTAAAATGATTAGTTCAATAACACTGGATTTCATGAGACTTTTTAAAATTCATGATTGAATAACACTGGATTTGTGAACTTTTTACAAATCACTTGAAATTCCACTTTGAAATTTTTCTTTTAACGATATGTAGAATGTCGATATAGACATATAGTGGAAAGATTTGTGTGACACAATAAGAAAAACAAAGAGGCAAAAGTTACATATATTTACTATTTTTTAATTTCCATCATTTAATATAATTTTGTTTTCTAACTTAATTTTATATTAATTGTAAATAATACTAAATTTAAAAATGTATGAACTATATAAACACTTTATATAGACTTTTAAGGTTGATTTTTTTTTTTCTTTTGTTTTTGTGTACACTTTAGAAAAAGATAAACCTCTCTAAATATATGTATATAATTATATATATAATAATTTTTAGTTTTAGGTATCTCTTAACCATTAAAATCAAGGACTATATGATGTAAAGTGTGAACTTACATTTGTTATCAAGCAGCTTTTTAATTTGTCTGTTTCTACTTTTTAATAAGTATATGAAGCTAAGATTAGATGAAGTCATTAATTAAAATGGTTCATTGGGGGTTTCTTATAAGTTGTCATATATACGTAACGAAGACATCTACTTCCTTATAAGAAACTTTACACACAAAGAGAAATGAAGTAAAAATGGAGCCTTGTCGTCGTTGCCAGAAGTCGCAGCGATCATGGATACGGTGGTGTTTGGAGGTTGTGGAAAGTTTCTCAATCATCTTAACTGTGATGTTTATGCTTTTGGTGGTAAAGGCTCTGTTTTGGAACAGAGGTTGTGAAGTGAAGTCATCATATAGACGGATTTTGACTGATAAGTCAACGAATAGTTTGGGAGCAATCTGCAACGTGACGTTGTACTCAGATCAGTGTTACTCGACGCTCTTGTCGGTAAATTCTACTGAGCCTAGAGTTCTCTTTAGGGCTTCTTTGGTCACAGCTGTCGAAGACCATGTGAAGATTCTCGGGGTTTTTAGTAACCTGGTTTCATCTGATGAATCTGTTTTGTCTAGTTTGCAAGTGTGTGATGAGATGATCGTTGATTCGTTGGAGTATTTGAACGAAACAATCGAACGTTTTGATGAGTTTGGGAAGATTATGACCAATGCGGAAATCGATGAGATAAGAGGGAAGTTGAGTTACGTGATCACTGATCACGACACTTGTTTGGAACGTTTTGATGAGATTATGGAGTTTGATTTCTCGAGTTACAAGAGAAATATTGGGAAAATTAAGAGACTTAGAGATTCTATGAAAAAAGGGAGAGAGCTTGTGAGCAATAGCTTAGCCATTGTGACTAAAATCTTAGGTCGATTAACCAAACAAGATGATAACAAGAGTTTACTTGGCTTTTTAGAAACAGAATCGGGTTTTCCAGATTGGTTTGGTAATGAGGACCGTAATGCACTTTTGACATGCGACTTGACTCCTAATGTAACGGTAGCCAAAGATGGGACTGGACAGTACCGAACAATCAGCGAGGCTGTGGCTTCTGTCCCTGAAAAGAGCAGTTCAAGATTCGTTATACACGTAAAGGAAGGCCTTTATGTTGAAAATGTTGAGGTGACGAAATACAAATACAATGTTGTAATGTATGGCGATGGGAAAACGAAGACGGTCGTTTCCAGTAGCCTTAACAGGATTGACAAACCTAACATCGATACCTTTCAAACCGCCACTTTCTGTAAGTCAAGTAATTTCTGGTTTTTTTACACGTTGGGTTTGGTTCTAATTGGGACAGGTCATGTTTTGGTTTTGCAGCGGTTAGTGGAAAAGGGTTCATTGGTAGGGATATGAAGTTTGTTAACACAGCTGGACCAGAAAAGAAGCAGGCTGTAGCGTTTCATTCAAAATCATGCCAGTCCGTGATGTACAGATGCGCATTCGAAGGATACCAAGACACGCTTTACTCGCACGCTGGAGAACAATTGTACCAGGAATGCGACATTGTTGGTACCGTCGATTTCATTTGTGGCCAGGCTGCTGCCGTGTTTCAGAACTGCACCATTCGGCCTCGAAAATCTATACCAACTCAACTCAGTACCGTGACGGCTCAATCTGCTAACGATCCAAACGTAAAATCCGGTTTTTCGATAATCAACAGTAAGATTTACCCCTTTGAAGGAGAAAATCTAACAGCGACCACGTATTTGGGACGACCGTGGAAGAGTTATGCTACAGTGGTGGTGATGAAAAGCCTAATCGGGATATTGATTAACCCTCAGGGTTGGGTTCCGTGGGACACAATGGTGAATCCTCCAACGACACTTAACTATGGAGAGTACATGAATTATGGACCAGGTTCTGGTGTGGGTAACCGGGTTAGATGGATTGGATATAATCCGAATATGACAGAACTAGAGGCGCGCCAGTTTACGGTTGATGATTTGATTAACAAACATGGATGGTTAAAGGAAACATGTGTACCCTATAATGGTTCTCTCTAGCAGAGTTTCTCTTGACTATAAATTGTAGTCCCCGGTTTAAGGGTTGTATAAACGATTAAGACAAAAATTTGTAGACTCAAAGCTCAATGAAACTCAAACTCGATATAATTCATAATCTGACTAATACAAAAGTGAGAGGTTTTGTGCCATTTGTGAAAGAAAGTCTTTTTGGTTTAGAGAACAGGAAGCAGACAAGCCTGATAAATTACCCAACCGACCAGGTAAGGTAAAATGGAAGCGAATGCCGGTTTAGTTCTTCATAGACGACTGATGACGGCTTCAACCTCCTGAGGAGTGTAGAGGTGATAAGCTGGTGCAACTTTGGCAATGTCGACGTTGTTTGGTGTCACCTATACCAGAAATGTAGAGTATCATCAAAATGACTATACAAGAGTTGGATTCAATAGGCTTTTAGTAAACAAGCTTGAAATCAGTTCAGTACCTTTTCTTCCATTACTTGCTTTAGGATAGATACAGCGACTGTTTCAGCTTCTTGAAGAGTTAAATCCTGCAAAAGTTGTAAAATTGAAAAACCAAAGAGATTCTGTAATGTACCTGGGATTGTGAAACAATCAAGTTATTTTTACCTTGTTGAATTGCTCTTGGAGAGAACTATCAGCTCCTTCTGAGCCTGACCCAATTGCCTTTGCATTGCATTGCCAGAATGTTCCCGATGGATCTGTGTAGTACCTGTACAAAATTGAGTTGTTTTACATTGTTGTACACCAATTTGAAATCATATAGACTGTTGGAGAAGGAACTAAGCTAAATGAATAATAACTTACAGGCTCGGTCCATTTTCATCATGCCCAGCAATGAGAAGGGATACTCCGAATGGACGAGACTACAAAAATTCGTGAGACTGAGCATAAGTACATTCACATAAAAAGGAGATAATAAAGAACCAAAGATTATTTGCTAAAAAATTATGGAAGAGTTAGGGAATGTTATAGTGGTGCTTGCAGAGCTAGATCTATCAATTCATAACTAAAACTTAATCCCCAATTCAAGGGTTATCTCTGGTACTTGATCATAAATTCCAAGCAGAAAGAAGTGATATCCACTAAACATTTACTACGTTATCAAGAGAAATGGAGCAATTGATACCATTGACTCTTCTTCTCCTTCACCAAACCGTAAAGCCAGATCGCACAAAGCTTGAGTTGTAGATTCTACAGTCATTGGCTCACCATACGAGAACCTGTGGTTCTGCACAACATTAAAAACCAGTTGGTAACAGAAACAACTTTTGATGTAAGAAACAAAACCGTGAGAAACAGAAACTGAGATCTCACTTGAGTCTCTACTCGTGCATGCTCAACAAGTGTTCGTGCGTCAGCAATGAGACCACTCATAGCACAACCTATATGGTCATCAATTTCCATAATCTTTTCAACACTGCTCGGCTCCTACTTAAAAGAAAAAAAGAGACTGAGAAAGCAGTCACAATTATAGGTAAACTCAAAACGGTTTTACTTTGTAATACCGCCCTTCAGATTCTATCACTCAGTGCCAAATCAAGACTAAATTTGTAGTGAAATTAAAAGTGTGCTGAATCATAAAGGCACAAAATAGCAAAGAAAATAGTACTTCTTAGATGCTAAGCTACTAACAAATCAACCAGTTGGAATTGCTAACATAACAAATGTAAATAAAAACAGGGGAAGCTCGCATGAGTCTCAGAAGTAAAACAGCAGGAGAGAAAGTATACCAGCAAGGTCGAGGTGATACGCTTCTCGACTGCAAGGACAACTCCTTCTTTTGTCTTTACACCAATCGCAGTGGAACCAAGCTGCAACCAAACCATTACAAACAAAACCTCGAGGTTTAGTGGATACACAGTCTAATAGTTATCCCCAACATAGCTCACTAACTCGAGAAAGGATTTAAGAAATCAAATCCCAGAAAAATGCCAACTTTGTTTAGATTCTAGGAAAGCTAATAGCAGCTAGAGTAATCGAGAAATTACCTTGATAGCTTCAATGGCATACTCCACCTGAAACAGACGGCCTTCAGGTGAAAAGGTATTGACTCCTCTGTCATACTCAGTCCTTCGATAGCCAAAAAAAAAACACACACAAACTTGATCAATACAAACACAATAATCGTTGGATTCAAAAGCGAACCCAGAAACGATAATTCACGATTATATCGAAATCGAAGGAAGAAATGTTTAGCTTTTAACCTAGTGAGAAACATCTTCTTCTCGATTTCGATCTGAAATAAACCTCAATGTCTGCACAAAAAAGCTATAAACCCTAAAATTTTCACAGATCGGAGAAGAATATGAAACGATTACAGAAACTAAGAACTTGAATGGATGCGAGAAAGCTTTACCAGCTGAATTGATCTACGAATCGAAGAAACAACTCTTCTTCCCAGCTTGCTCTTTTCTAAGCTTCCGAAGAAGCACTCTTGAGTAACAAGTTAGAATCAGATGAACACTTGGGCCTTAAATGGGCTTCAAATTCTTATCAAATAGGCCTGAAGCTGAGTTAATATTATAAGTTGTTAAGCTAAATCAATTAGCCTAAACCCATAACCTATTTTCTTCCACTCGTATACGTGTGTACGTATGTTTCTCTATAAATCATCATCATAATAGTATATAAAATTATATGAAGATAATATTGATAATTGTACTGTGTGAAATATTATAATCCTAGTTGGTTATTATAATAAAACGAAAGTAATTATAAAAATTCGAGTGATGGTACGATATTTGATAAGTTAGGCCACCACTCCGGGATGATATAAGTGGACGACGATTCTAGAAAATTTGATAAATCAAAACTGTAGTGACGTATATTAACATCCCAACCCAACCTCCTCCTGAAACATGACCACAACTATATAAATAAAGAATTTATATACTACTGATCGAGTAATCAATCAATTAATTAGCATTATCTATCAACACTTATATTTTTAATTTTGGCTTAAGCGACAAAATAAAACAAAAATTGATTTGTGGAAGTGGTTTTTTTGTGTTTTTGTTGTTGTTGGTTGGTTAAGATAATTTGGAAGTTTGCTCCAAACGTTTCGTGGCCTAGCCTTGTCTATGATTCCACCATTTTGTTTTAAATAATAGTTGGTTAAAAATGGTACATGAACTATTGAGGATTCCAAAGTTGTTGATGACTCAGAAACATGTCAAGATTTGTGTAGTTTCTTTTTTTTAAGAATACACAAAGAAAAGAAAAAAGATTCGCATAAGCTCTAATTAAAAACTGATGGAAGAATATTCGTTATCATGTATAGTTTGGTTATACATAATTAAACCAGCGAGATAATATTAACATATATAACAACAACACCTTATTGAGCTTAGGAAGAGACAAGACTTTTTCCGATAAACTCTACAACGACGACGATGTCTCCATGTTTAAGCCAACACTTTAATCTTCTTCTTCATTGTCTAATCATAAACATTAGTTTAACAAGTCACCAATTATTTGACATTTGCAATAATTATTTGTCATGACTTCATAGATATACCGACACGTGCTACGATTGATTATGGTATTAATCAATTTCATTGTCACCCGGACGGCACATATAGGTAAACTTCTCTAATCATAAACCAAATTGGTCAAATAACCCCAAAGCTTGATGAAAAATAATTGCACTATTTTTTCTTTAACAGAGTAGTGATGTTATTACACGTACTTACAGATGATTTGACAACTGAATACACTAATATATATTAGTGTTAGGAATAATGTACTTAAAACAGACCTAAATGACTAGACATACACATGTATACGTGTAGATAAAATTCAACGGTTTCACAGTGTTTGGTTCATTTATAGATCAAACGTAAGAAGAAAAAACGAAACAATTTGAAGAACCCCACGAAAATGACAATTAAACAAATGATAACACTCTTATTGGCTATTATTTTATCTGCATCTTGCTTCTTTAAAAATAAATATTATTATATATTATAGTATAATTAAACTCAGATTCAACCAATTATAGGAATCCTATATAATAATTATTGTTTTTCAAGTTCTTGAGACCTATAAACCAAACATTTTGTCCAAAAAGAAGAGATTCAAAGTTTCTTCAGTAAGAGAAAAGAAAAGAAACACAAAGGGCTATAATATGGCCTATTCAACTAAACTTTGTCTTCCTCTTAGAACACCATGTTTAGCTCCAAAAACAGTGAGATCAAAGACTGTGATGATTCTTCAACAGAGTCAAGTTCAAGTTCAAGTCAAACATGTCACAGTTTCGCAGCCTCAGCCGATCAGATACTCCACCAAGAACACTGTATGATCCTCTTCTTTCTTTTCTTTTCCCCTGGAGCTGGTTCTTGATTTCTTGCAAATTTATATACAACCTATTTGGTAGGCAAAATATGATTTTTGAAATTTCGGGTTTTTGTTTTTCTTGAAACAGGTCTTTGAAGATCCGACGCAAGGGATCATATGTTACACAGATGATAATGGAGAGGTTATATGTGAAGGATACGATGAAGGTCCTCGTTGTCCCACACAGAGTCCAATGGTAGCTTCTTACTCAAGGTACGATTAAATTCTTAATCCTAAAATTATACTATATAATCAGATAGATCTTGTTGAAATGTTTATTAATCACTGGATTTGTTAAACAAACACAGAGAGGTAGAGATTCTTGATCTCCTGCAAAGAAGTTATCAAGAACTGAGGGGTGCTGAGAAAGATGGTCAAACACAGATGATTGCTTCACAACCAGAGTTAAAGATGATCGAATGGAGCAGCTTTGACTTTCTCTAAATCTCTTTTCTTTTTTTTCCTTCTAAAATCAAAATCTGTTCTCTCTTCAGAAATAGCCTCTTGAATAAGAATGTACATACATGAAAAAAAAGGCTGTGAAAGAAGCAGCCATTTGCTTCTTTCTTGTTTCGATATTTTGTAAGAACACAAGCATGGATATATATATATGTGTCAGGATTCTGATTTCAATCTTTTCTCAAGCTTTCAGACAAAGAAAAGGGGTGCATGGATCAAACATATAACAAAAGAATCTTTAATAAATCATGTAACACATTGAAGCAAAGCTATACACAAGAGAAAATGTCTCTTTTCTTTTTTCTTTTTTTCTTTTTTTTTTTTTGTACAGAGGATAAAAATGAAATATTCTCACTTTTTCTGAGGAATTTTTAAGACAATCTCCTAATTCTCTACATTGACGACCCAAAATCTAGAAAAGACAGCAAACAAAATCGATATCTGACAGCAACCCAATATTCCAATAAATGAATAATATATATTGTGTTCCCAAATGCCAAAATCTATACAAGACCCAAAAACACACTTACCATATGGGATTCTTTATATCACTCTGTTTGTGTAATGGCTTGAGAGGTTTCTTCAGGTTGATCAGATCTGGAGTCATTAGCAACGACAGTAGATGGAGACCATTGATCAGGGACCATGAGGAAGTAAGTTGTCATCGCCTTTCTGAACCTTCTCTTGTATTGCTTTGGAGAAATTACAGTTGGTGCTTCGTTCTTTGGTCCTCCCAAGATTCCTGTAAATTTTACCCAAGACTCTAGATGCTTGTCCCATGTGTACTGCCTCAAAAAGTCGATAATCCCGAGAACTAGCTCATTATTTTCTTCATCCACGCCTACTAGTAACGAATAATCCATCACATCACCCAACTGCAAACACGTTAAATTTATTTATTGACAAACCTTTTCAAAGAGTAGTGAAGAGTAAATGGTTTGCAGAAGAGTAAAACTCACTGCAAGAAAAGCAGTATCATTCCAGACTGCTCTTTCCAATAATCGTTTTGCTTTGTTACCGACGAAAATGGGAGAAGTTGGCATTGCTTCAATCAAGTTTTGATCCAACAAAACTTTGTTGCTCCCACTAGAGTCAGGATTGTAGCGCGCCCGGGATGATCCTTTGAGGTCATAAAGCCGTTTTACAGTTCTTCCAAATAGAAGATTCTCCATTATCAGAACATCCATCTTTGTTTCTTTCCCGCTCTTAAGTTGCTTTGTTGTGACCTATTAACACAATACAAATTTTCATCAAGAGTGAATCAAACCTGACCAGGAAATCTCCCAACTTAGCTATTAATACCTGATAGATTCCCAAGATTTTTGCCAGGCAGGTTGGACTTTTCGTGCTGATAGATTCAGATAAGTATTTGAAGTAAGCAGGTGCAAATTTGATAAATGATTCCAATTCTGTCTTGGTGACTTGCTTGATGATAAATCGATCATCCAGGGTTTTAGCAAAGAAGACATTGCTTTTGCCACCTTGAGCTCCCCATTTTTTACACCGGCTAAGGGACCTTATAAACTCAAGTTCCGAAGGGAGACATATACCCCGCAGTGCCTCAAACCGTTTCGCGTAGTAACAAGTAACTGTGTACTTCACTTTTCCAAGAGTACCGTCCTCTCCATATGAGACTCGAGCATGTAAGGCTTTTGTATATAATAGTGGGTCCAGAAGCAGTGAGCTAGTTCGAGATGAGGACATTGAAAGTATGCTCTCATCAACTGAACCATTGCTTCTGCTAGGGTCAAAAATAGTGTCATCAACTGGGCGAGGGATATTCAGTTCAGAAGGATATGAAACTAGAGATTCCCCCTCAACAGATGTTTGGCGTTGGTATTCAGGTGACATCAAGGCATATGCAATCATACTCGTAGGTTCATCATCATAAACTGGAACCACAATATCATTCAAGCCTACAGGAAGAAGTAGCCTTGGTCCACCTTGAAGCTCTGCCTCTCTAAAAGATGAAATATAGATAGGGCTATGCTCGCCAAATGTATCAAGCTTCGTAGAGCTAAGCAAGAAATTCTTGTTAATGGAACGGTAGAAATTGAGGAATGGCACACTTAACCAGCTTACAGAGTCTTCTGAATTCTCATACTTCTTACTCAGCAATGCAGGGGAAACTGGATAGGACACCTTGAATTCGTTTTGCTGTTCTAGGAGATCTATAGGCTTTAGGCCCTCTGAGATTGGAGGGAAAGTTGAGGAGTTTGACATGGACGAAGGAGGAAGCAAGACCTTATTGTTGGTTGGAATTTCCACAGATGTTTGACGTTCGCCTATCCATGCTGCATCAAGAGTGGCTGATAGATTTTTCATAACTATCTGGCCATCAGACTGCGTTCTGCGAACATCAAGTTTATTTTCCGGAGGATAAGTTGTATCTGGTAAGGTATTGCTTGGAGAAACTTCTCCCCCATCATTTTTTTCCAGATTCAAATCTGTATTTGTATTCGCTTCCTTCTGAGTAGAATCACCATCTGGATTCAAATTAACCTCTGAGCTAGTAAGAATAGAATTGGTCCCATCATTCATCTCGGGGAGCGTCTGGCTCTTAGCCAAGGGAGATTTCTCAATGTCTTCTCTCCTTATTTCATCACCATTTTCGAGCTTATGCAAAGTTGATGCACTAATCAAGCGGTGATCCCACATGTATGACTGAAAAAGCAGTTGTCTGCGAATCCGGTATAGCTCCAGAATATCCACGAGGGGTTGGCCTTCCTTTACCTCCCTGTACAACATCTTTTGCATATTATCCTGGAAGAAATGTAAGAATAATTACAAAACGGACATCGTCTTATTTTGGCTAATTTAGTCCATTTCCTAAAATACATGAAGCCAATTTATGTTCCATCGCCTAAGTAGACTCTTTAATATATAGCTATTTGAGAAAAAGATACTCTTTAGTCCCTAATATAAAAACACAACTTATCACCTCAAATTCGGCTTTCTCTCTTTGCAGCACTTCTTCGAGCTCACCAATTCGACGTCTGAAACCTTTCTCTGCAATTTGACTAATAGCATTTAAAACTTCAGAAAACAGAAGCTCTGCTCTCTCTATCACCTGTTTAAAATAAATGAGAGAGAAATCAGTCAAGTCAAAGTTTTTATTTCAAATCTGCGTCCAAGAGAATCACAGATATTTTACCTCGTCTATCTCTCTCTGTATCCAGTCCTGATTCTCATAGTTGAAACTAAGAATTGATGGTGGAAGGTAGACGGAATGAACATCTATTGTAGCGTACCGGAAGCAAGCAACCATGCTCCCAAATCTGCACGGGCCCAACTTGTTAGAAAAAACACAGACTACTATATAAGACAATTTTTAACACTTAAACTATCTGGACGCAAGAATAGAAGTACCCATAGAAGCGAAGACAATCTCTATGCAGAGAATGGCCACAACAAGCTACTCTACTAGCGGCTGCGTGATTTGAGAAACTGAGCTCCAGAAATTTCCCAAACGATAATCCCCATGCAGCATCAGACATAACCACTCGTAGAGTCGCTGGAGGGAACCCGTTAGGCCGCGGGCATCTCAGGCATCTATGCCACATCCAGATCTTCCCCTCCTTTTCACCAGGTAAGAGATAATCTTGGAGCTTCTTGACAGATATAGTAAGGCTGCCTTGTCGATGAGTGTAGCAGTGAACGTGAGCTTCTGATGGCATCTCACATGACCGGCATCTGTAACTCTGAAAAAGTTTTGAGCATGGATTTAGTAAAACCAAATTACAATGTAAGCTGTAACTGAAATGTTAAACTAAGAAACAAAAATAAACTAGAAAAAAAGCTCACCTGATCAAACAAATGATCTCTCAAGAACCGCCCCAAGGGTTTATCAAAACTACCATAGTATTTTATTCGAAAAAGGTGAGACCTCTCACACACAGTTCCTTTCCACACTGATCGGGACGATAGAGAAACCAAAATGCTCTGATGGTCAGAGGGTGACGGAGGAAATTCTTCTTTTTGAGATTGTGTTCCCTTTGGTTTCTCACTGTTTTGTTGTTGGACCGCTGTATGCTCTGAAATATTGTCTTGGTTTTCGACCATAATGCTGGTACCACTTTCAGAAATTTTTCGCACAAAGCCTTGCTCAGATGAATATAAGGAATCGTCCATTTTGTCATCTGCCACAACAATTGGATTGCCTTTTTCAGCTGGTGTATCCACTGGTACAGATCTTCCAGACAAATCTGAGTTTCTGCTCTCTATCACACGGTCAGGCAAATTCAATGAAACATTATGGCGTGAAAAGACGAGACTCGAGTTTATTTCTCTAGACTGCCAGCCTGAACCATTGGGTATCATAGGATTTATTTCCTTCTGGTTGGATGTATCGGCGGTGGTCGAAAGCAACTCTGATACTGGGACACTGTTTGCTCGTTGTGGTTCATCACAAGATAGCATTCTCGGAGATTTTTCATATGTTGAGACTGTGAAACCTGGCACAGTAGATATTGAACGTTCAATACTTGTAGATTTATCTGGAAGTGCAACAGTAATCGGGGAATTTAACGGTAGTTCAGGTGAGGCTCCCTCATCAGCAAGAAATGATGTCTCGAGTGCCAGATGATAAGCTGCAAAAACTCCATACTGGACCACATGCTTCACTTTTTTCAACTCATCTTCATTTGCACCCCTAAGCAATATCTAAAGAAGAAAGGACATACAAAATAAAGTAATGAGGTAATTAGATTAAAAAATTTGTTTATGTATATTAAATTATAAAAGTTGGGAGTGCTTACTGTAAAGCCTAATGGCTTTGGACAATTCTCAAAATACATCAATGTCTTCACCACTTTCTTTCCAACTTGACCAGTTGAAACATGTTCTTCAAGAAACCTATCCACCCGAAAATTCTCACAGTGGCCCAGTTTTTGAGAGGAGAGGTGATCTACTGAAGGTATTATTTGAGCACCAGTGCACCGACCAATGCGGTCTAAAAGTGGCCTCTTGATATTTAAAACAAGAGATATGTCTTTGGCTAGAAGATACTCTTGCGCAAATCTAGAAACTGATTTTTCGACTAGTAGAATATTTGGACGTTCAGCGTGAATCTTTGCAACAGCCATCTTTAGATGATCCTTTTCCTGAGAACCAAAATATGTGTCAGTAGAAGGGTCTAGGCATAGATAAGATAATCCATATCTAGCCACCAAGTA